TTTTCTTTCACTTTTGCCGCCAATAAGCACAAACAAAATAAAACGGAAGAAAAACATGGACAACCAAAGACAATAAGCAATTCAAAAACAAATAAAAACGGAAAGGATAATGAAAACTAAAACTGTGGGGAGGGTAAAAATACACAAAAGAAAATAAACAAAATGGAAAAGAACGAAATGCACAAATATATGCAAACAAAATAAAAGAGCAAAGAAAAACTGAAAACTTCCAAAAAGATTTTAGCAAAATAAAAATTAAATGAAACAATTAAATGACCGGAACGTCATGTATACTTAAGAAATGATCCCTAGACAAAGCGTCCGATGATGAGTTCATAAAGGATGTAAAGAACAAACTAAATAGTAAAGACCAGAATATCTCAGAAGTTTACTCACTCTGTAACGACGTACTAAATGTACGGAGACAGAGTAGTAAATCCCATCTACACTACAGAAGAGAACATTTAAAGGAATTCCATGTTGGCCATCCGGGAACTTCAAGAATGAAAAGTCTGATGAAGAGTTACGTCGACTGGACCAACATGGACAAGGATATTGAAAGCACCCCCGATAAAATTCAATCCCTAGCCTAAAACCGACCGTCCGTGGTCGCGGATAGACATTGATTTTGCTGACCCGCTTGATGTTTTTTACTACCTTGTAGAAGTTGACAGTTATTCGAGAAATGGCCAGAAATATTGAAATGTAAGAAGCCGACCGTGGAGGTAACAGTAAAGTTTTTGCACGAGCTATTTTCCCGTTTCGGAGTTGTTGACTGTATCGTAACAAACAATGCCACACAGTTCACATTCTGTGAATTTAAGGATTTTTGTCAATCATTCCTGATCGAACATATTACCACGACGCCATATCACCCAAGAAGTAATGGAAAGGCAGAGCGTTTTGTGAACACTTTCAAGAGATCACTGAGGAAGGTGTGAGGTACTCCCACCGATACGGTTATACAACAGTCTTTGCAGGTCTATCATGTAACCCCTAATAGCAGTACTCCATCTGCCAAGACGCCAGTGGAGGTCATGTTTGCCAGGAAAATAAAATCGGAATTTGACAAATTCCTTTCAAGTGAAACGAAAGCGGGAAATAAAGTGCTTAAAAAGTACTTTAAGATCTTTTTTCTTTTTTTTTTGTGTGTATATTTGGGGATAATAAAGCTCACTGGGAGATAGAAATAATAGACAAACAAATTGTTTACATGATTTACATGGTCCAGGGACTGAAGTTTATACAAAAACGTCATGTAAACCAAATTAGAAAACGGTATGAAAGCGTAGTCGACAGGGATCCCATAGAAGATGACACTATGGACATCGTCTTTGATGCTTTTTAGATTCCAATACCGCAATCAGTGCCAGAGCTCAGAAGGCCCAAAAGAAAAAGGAAATTTATAGAACCTTTAGAAATTAACCCAAAAAGAAAAAAATATTAAACATCATTCATTTCATACCATGTCTACAGAAAAAGGAAAAGAATGAGTAAAAAAAACTCACCTCCTCACTTATGAACTTTGAAGTACAAGAAAAGCACAATACGCATTGGATTATTGGAAATTATTAACATTATAATTTACCATTAAACTTATCCAATTTTTCATTATTTAGGAATAATGAATAGAGACCTTAATAAAAAGGAACTCTTGTTAACACTTAAAACTAAAAAAAAAATTGTGAACGTAATTCCTGTATATAGCTTTTTCAAAGTGGTTGTTTCTGTTTTTTTTTGTGGTTGAATAAAAAAGTATTGTGTGGTAATTATAAAAAAAAAAGACTCCATACGGAGTAAGGCTGAAAAGGGGGTGTTGTGGTGTCCTCCCTCTAAAGAGTCTATGTTGGACTCTTCCACCTACTATAAGATTAGTAGGAGAGAAGGCCTTGGGGAACAGTTGAATAGATTGAATGCTGGGTCAACAGACACACACTCACTAGTTGTGTAATACTCTTCTATTGTACTTACTGCTTAATATATGATATATCTGTAACACTTGTTTTGTTATTTATTTAACCATTTACTTGCTCACAACAGCAACCTAAAGAGAATTTCAATCTGAACCCTCTATTTAATCCAGATGAAGGCATTGCTTAATCCATGATGTTATTGTCCCATGGGGCAATAACTTAGTGGATTAAAGCATTGGTTCATGAATTTAGTGACATAGTAATTGTGAGTTCAATACCCGGGCTGGGCAGTGAGTACATGGACTTATTGGAAACAGGTGAGCAATAAGTGAGCAGTACTAAAATAAGAACTAGATGAGATATCCCTAGATATAGGCGGTAGAATGAGGTCAATTTACACTCATAGATTAAATAAAGGTTTTAGTTCAAAATTCCTGGTAAGTTTTTCAGATCAACATGCACCTGATGACAGCTAGAGGGTACAATGGCCAAAATGTAATGATAACAACAACAAAAATAGGGACAATAGTCCACATGTAAATAGTGTAAATATGTATCTTTGTTTTATTAGAAGTTAATTACATTGAGACAAAACAACCTTCATTTTTGTTTACACAAAGAAAGTTGAATAGATATGATAAAAATTGGTCTCCAGAGCTTTCAGATGAAACTTTGATTATGTATGGCTCAGCACACAGAACACAACCTTGTGACAGGTCAATACACATTGCTGATGAATAATAAGATGTTCAGAGATTGCAGACTCAGATGTACTGGAACATTTATGCAAATTTTGAAGTTGAACTTTATCAATGCATGCTGGCTTATACTGAGAGATTCTCTTCTCCAATAATTGGGTGGTGCTATTTATGCAGTTAGCTTCACATTGACATTTAAATTGATCGATATCATAACTAATTTGATAGAAAGGTAGGCCATTTTTATGGATAGATTTTAACATTGGTCAAGAAGAGATGATGATATGTGAATTACCAACAAAATGGCAATTACTAATGCTAACAGAGATTTGTTTAGCAAATCTTATACTAACCTCATCACACCAGGGTAATTTTAAATAAACAGGACATTTATCAGGTCCCAACGATTTAGATTTATGTAATCTTAGTGCAAACACTAGACTGCACTAGACACCCAAAGATTTTCTTAATAAATTTTATACCTGAATTTATTTTACTCTTAGAACAAATCATTAGGGAACAATAGACTGAAGTCTTAATAAGAAGTTATATAATTGAGTAAAAGAGGCTTTCCAGTAGACATTTGAAAATTTAGGTGGGGAAAAATTAATCAGTCACATTTTCATCTGTGAATCTCAATCAACAAAAACAACAATCACAGCCAATGAAAAATAAATTGTTTATAAAAATGTAAAGGAAAAAAAGGTCCTGGGAAAAATGAAAAGCCAGTTTTCATCTGAAGTTGATACTGGTTGATACTGTGTATCTAGTGGGATTAGAAGGGCATTAAGTATTACAAGGTTCTCCTACAAAATCAGACATTGAATTCAGACAAGTATTGTTCCATCTTGATCCGTTAAAGGCAGCAATTGATAAATGGCATTCAAACTTGGCCAACTGGAAAATATGTCACTTTCTATCAGGATAATGCCAGAACTCTTTGTAGACAGAGTAGAAATTGGTACAGCTTGGCTGGGATGCTTTGCTATATCTATTATACTCACCTGAGCTTGCATCTTTGGATTTTCATTTTATTTAATCCCTATAAAATTCTATTAATGAGAGTATACTGATAAATCATGAAATATCTTCCTTTAAAATCTAGGAGGTATAAAAATCACCCTGTAATATCCATCAGTAGATAAGTAGTCAGAGTAAAGTGCAATAAACTTTGGTATAAGTTTATTCACTGGTTCTGTTTTTACTACAGGGAGAATATTCAGTTATCTAGAACCCTGTAAAAACCACTTAGACCAATTAATCACTGAGAAAATTGATAGGATCATGAAGCACCTTCAAAAATGGTGTGAGGGGGTGGAGCAAAATGGCATATATGTGGTTGAATAATTCTATGTACAAATATCTAAATATTGTCTTGGAAATTCATTTAAAAATGCTACAATGCTACAAACATTTGCTCGAACTCAACTATATATATATATATATATATATATATATATATATATATATATATATATTATGAAATGGATTAATTCTGACAATTATTTTAATACATTATTTTTATAGATATAATTTATTTAATTAAACACTTTGTTTTTTACTTAAACAATATTAACTACATTTACTTGCCTGAATATTCGAGAAATTTTGTAGAAAATATGTGCTTCTCTGACAGGAATCGAACCTGTAACCCTTAATGAGAATCATCATTTGATCTGATGTGCTGTTAACCATTCAACCACAAAGAAGCATCTGGATGTATAAATGGAAAATATAACAAAATAATTGTTGGAATTAATCCATTTCATAATATGTTGTCATTGTTTACGTTAAGATATATTTTGTGAGCAGATAGGATCGATCAGGAAAAATCGTCGAATGTGTATATTTATAAACAGAAATTCAGACTTTGCTAACCAGATGCTTCTTTGTGGCTGAATGGTTAACAGATCAAATAATGGCTCCTATTAAAGGTTACAGTTTTGATTCCTGTCAGAGAAGCATATATTTTCTATGAAATTTTTCAAACAATCAGGCCAGTTCATGTAATTAATACTGTTTAATTAAAAAACAGAACATTTACTTAAATAAATTATATCTATAAAAATAATGTATAAATGGAAAATATATTAAAATATATATATGTGTGAGTGAGTGAGTGAGAGAGAGAGAGAAGAAAAAAAGAGATAGCAAGAGAGGCATATCCTAAAATAAATTTCTACATCTTGAAAAGAATTTGGAACATAACTATTTCTTTATATTTTAAAATTTTTAAATTACAAAATTGTGTTCAAAAACTTCATAGAAAATCAAGATTTAATTAAATTTAATTAATCAAGATTTAATTAATATTTGGTTAAGTGAAAGATTAATTTTCTTTTCTCTGCTTAAACAGATTTATGAACACATATTCTAATTAAAATCTTACCATCTTCAGCATCCACAAGAATCACAGCTGCCCGTGAAGGTTCTTCAATTATTGCCATTACTGGATCACTCACTTGGAGGTAGAATTTTTCTTGATTTTCAAATTTCTCATCATCAATCAACTGAATACGCCAAGTCTTTTCAGTTTGACCTGAAAAATATTTTTTAAATTAGTAATTAAATTAAAAAGAAAATTTTTTTTTTTTTTCATAGGGGTACATTCAGTGATTTAGCAACAACTTTGGTAGTTTATCAGGAAATATAGAATTTGCATTAGTACAAAAAGATCTAGAATAGTGGCCATACAGGAAAACTTTAAAGTATATTGCTCACTAGCCTGTAAAGTCACCATGAAATTTTAAAAGTATTCAAATATGGGACAGATATGTCTACATAACATCAGATCTTGAAAATGATTATAAACTTGGTTGAAAGCATTCAATCATTAACATTCAACCAACTTCTCAATCAATACAATCTTAACCTGTTCAAATCTACACATATCCACATAAGCTGTGCTTCTAACTCTGTAAGCCTCTATTTCAAGTGCCCCTCAGACCTTGTACATGGTGAACATCATTGTAAAAAAAAATATCTATATTCATTGGATCCAAACATATGCTCTCATGTAAATAAACAGAAAATATAGATATGTATAGCTACATGTACAGATATTTATGTATATACAGATAATCATGTACAAATATTTGATAAAGCAGATTTAATTGAAAGAGATAAATATTGTTTATTTAAATGATTTTTTATAATCTTCCTAGTTTTTTCTGTAGAACGTTCACTGAAAAGCAAATTCTACAATTGTCTTTAATTATGTAACTGAGTAGCTTCATCTGGTTGACCAGCCTTTTTTAAGATCAAAAGTTGATAATGTTACATGGTTAATGATGTTAAATTTAAACATTTTTATATTATGTTGACATTGACACATTTGAGAATGTGCAAGTGAAGCATTTTCTGAGAATTATTTTTATTTTAAAATGCCTTAAAAATCATGATGCCTTCACTGAAGAGTAGCCTCTTTAGGTATTTTTTAAAGTTTTAATCATAAGATCTGCTAGAATTTGATGGTTTTAGTACAATCCAGCCTATAAAAATATAGGTGTTAACAAGGATCTGGTGAATGAGTCTGTCAGTGCCATAGAGTCAGTATTCATGAATATTTGCACAGACCATTATTACACTTGATAAGTTAGTCATGATGACAAGATGGGGATTTGTCAAGCTGATATAAATCTGGGGTGATGATATAGTTTAGGATAACATCAGCATTTTTCATACTTTTCTACTTTTATTTATGTTCAAGCAATGACAGAGTTGTAATTTTTAAAGAATATTTACTTAAATCCTACAGATTAGAATTCAATGTAATTTGTTGAAATTGACTGATATATAATTTTCAAATCATCTTTTTTGATTCATACATGAAAATTTAATTTGTAGATGATACTTTGTCAAAAACATTTTGTCAGTCCATCAATGAGGCTATAGTTTGCATTCATAAAGTTGTCATGAGAGTTGTGTTGGAGAATCTTCAGAAAAGTATTAGCTTTACAAAGGTTATATAAGGAAGTACTCAAAGATTTCAATTTGATCAAGAAGCCTATCCCCACAAAATTATATTTGATTATTTTGTGGAAAGGGTTTGTGCTGATGACTTCAGCAATATATATTAGATTTGCTGTGTTTACAGAACAAGAATGCTCAATATCAAGGATAGAGGATGTGTCTATATAAACAGTATGGCTATAGAAATCAATACTGCATGGTGACTGGTTGTGATAATGGCTTATGCAATCATCAGAATATTTTAGGCTCTATACATATTCCACAAAAAAGTAATAATACATAAATTAAAATACAAATTTCAAGGTCAACATTATAATCTAAAACCTAAACAAAAGACTAGAAAAAACACTTACCCCTACCCCTATTCTCAAAAGTCTCCAGTCCTGTATATAGAGCTGAAACAAATAAGCTGTTCAGAAATTGATATGGCAGCTCAAATGCAAAATGAAATAAACAAATCACAAGTCCAAAATTGAAGATCCAGAAGATGGAAATAAATGTCCAAAATCACAAATCACGGGTTCAATTGCAACAGCTGCCACTAACTTGTTCCTATTTTGGTTATTTTGTCTTTTGCATATCATGCAGAACAAACATGCCCTTTTTCTTGCCAAGTGACTTTCTCTTTCACCACACTCCCCCTGTACCTCATGATCACAACCAGGGGTGGGTCTCTTAAGCCTTGTGCTTCTTCTCAAAGGAACACCTACCATCTTCTCTCCTGATGAATTGTCTTCCAAAGGGACATCAGATGTATTTCCATTAGGCTGAGTATAGTTTTCTCTGAGGACATACTAGAGGCATCTCTTATTTCGACCAGTCCCTCATTGTTAGAGGACTTACCCTCAACATCACTTGTTGATGTGTTTGAACTGACAAAGGAATGCAGATCCCTCACATGGCATGGAATTCCATCAACAAAAATCATATGCAAGCTTCTAAATCCCACTTGATATTGAGGTGTACATTGGTTTTGATGGGATTTTATCCACACACAGTCCCCTAACACATATGTCAATTGTGCATGCATTGATGGAGTTCTTTTATCAATATTTTGTGCCTAGTAATGGTAAATTCCATTAGTGGGCATGGTGGAAGGTGACACATCATTTTTGGGTGTAATGTTGTACCAATATATGACTTCTGTCACTGAGCATCGTTTCCTTGTGGCAATTTGAATTATGCTTTGGTGGCAATGTTCAACTATCTTGTTACCAGAGGGGATATGCATATAGTGGAAACAGATATGGATTCCCCACCCACTCTAAAAACTCCTTGAATGGTTTACTGTGGAAATCAGTGTCATTGTCAATGAGAAGTTTAGCAAGAAGTCTCTGTTCAAAGAATAGGGCCTTTAAATAGTTGATGACACTGACTGAATCTAGTTGATGCAGTTGTCACCAGACTGTGAATCGACTGGGTCCATTGTCAATCAGCATCCAGTAATGTTTACCATCATGATGCATGATGTTCATCCCAACCCAATCTAACTTTCCTCTTGGCCATCGTACTGGTGATGGGTCAATGGACCGACACTCTCTACATTATCTGACTATGGCCCTAACTGCTGCCTTGGACATCATGGGATCAATCCGCCTTGCAAATTACAGGATCCTTTTAATGTCAGGATACCCTCTTTGAAAGTGTACTGACCTTATCTTGTCTGAGCCTCATTTTCTAACTGATACTGCACAGAAAAGTTTCAAGATGATTTATCATATGAAACTGATGTTGACATCTATGTCTACACTGTTTTAATCTATTCCCTACATATTTAGATTATGAAAACATGAGGTGGGTCTTCTATGTGACTGCAAGAACTTACCTGGATTGAACTGCACCTGAGTTGCATAACGACTCTGGATATCTTCTCCCAAAATGGCTGTACCATTTTCAACTTTGATTGCTTGGGAAAAAAATAAGATAATAAAGTCAGAGCAGACATAATATTGTCATAAACTCACAGTGTATATTGATTTTTGTTGTTAATTTGAATGTCTTGAACAATCAATGCTAAAATATATAAACATGTTACTTTTAGATAAATTGATATTATTACTTTCTGTAAACCTGTAATTGTATTTCAAGAGATAACCCAATATCAAGAAAGAAAATTGGCTTAAAATCTGCAACCACAATATGATGTCTTTATTTTTCATTCACTTCTATTTGTTATTTTCCTTCTTTTCTTAATTCCTTTGATTTTCATTCTTTCATCTTTTCTTTCTTTTCTTCAAACTCTACTGCTTTTTCATTCATTTATTTTATTTCCTTATCTTTCTTTAATTAATTCTCTTCTTTGTAAGAACAAAGAAGAGAATTAATCAACAAAAAATTAACAACTAGTCTTTCTAGTGTTTAATTTGTCACTTCTAATTTTTTATAGAATTTTATGTTATTAGGTTGTAGAGAAAAAGATGGCTTTTTTGAAATAATATCATTTTATCCTCTAGGTGAGCTACATCACTTTTTCAGTTTGTTTTGCACAGTCGGATACTATGATTTTCTTAATTTGTAATCCATGTCATTTATTGGCTAGATTGACAAGGATTTTTCTACTAGCACACCCCACTGATTATTTGCTTTTGCAAAAGAATACACCATTACCTTTGTCATTTATGAGACACTTATGTTCAATTTAAATCTTTGAAAACAAGTGACACACTTAATGGAGTGTTCTCCACATTCCATGCATAGTTAAAACTAGATAAAATTATTATCGTTACTATGTATCTAATGAAATGTTATGTAATTTTATTTTTTGAAAACCTAGGTCTTTGTAACAAGTGGAAGAACCATTAGCACATGAATGAAAGAAACATTTTTAATTATAGAAAACAATATCAGTATAATTAAATAACAAGCATGTTCTTTACAGCACATGACTAAATACTGGCTATCATTTTCAAGACAATCAAATATTTCTAATTTTTTTCACTTGTGAGCAATGTTGAAGATCAAAATATTTTCAAAATAATTTTGCTATCAAATATAGATGATTATTATTTCTCTCTACATTATATATTTTTAATTGGAATTTGTTTTATTTTTATCACAAAAATCAACTATGCCATTTTTCATTGAATTTCACTTCTAAAGATTCTTGTTACCATATGACCTCGTTTCTTTTTTCAACTCAGTATATTAAAAATGTGGTGTTTTTTAGTAATCTTAGTTTTAAATTAGGTCACTTTTATCACATATACAAAGTGACTTTTATCCATTATATCTAAATTTAAATATTTTTACTGGACTATGAATGTATGCTCAAATTGTATTTCTAAATATTTCTTGGGTGTTTTATTAAACAAGAGAAAATGCAATGCACTGATCTTAGACAGAATGCTTCTAAAAAGTATGTTGTCTCATGTGTCAGCAAATAAAAACCATCAGGTTTTTTCATACCCAACTCTTTTCCTTTTCTTACATTTACACTTTTGTTCTTAGCTGTCTTAAGACTTTTTCTTTCATATGCCATGTTCATAAAATTAAAATAACTCTGCCATATCAATAATAATTAAAAGAAAATGTAAAAATATCAGATGCTCTTTTTGTAAAAAATCAGTCCTATACTTAAGAATCTGTGATGTCCAGATGGAAGCAATAGCAACATCTTGTGTTGGTAGTGAAAAAGATTTTTTAATACTTTATTCAAATTAGAAATCCCTTGATAGCAGTTTTCCCAGTGTGGTCATTTTGTTGATAGACTGAGCAAGATCAGTCATTTAGATGTGAGCCATCTGTAATTCAGAAAGATTTGTTTGTGATTGCTTGTTTATGTTATGAATGAGTAGAATCAGTTGGGATGGTGCCATCTTTCTTGCCCTCACATCAAATCAAAATTAGTCACTAAGTGTGATGAGTTTGATAAGAAAGAATAATTTGAAGATGAAAAGGAAGAAAGGAAAAATTAATTCTTAGAGTGAAGAAGAGAAGTAGAACAGGAGAATGGTGAGGAAAGAAAATTAAAGAAAGAAAAGTACATTGATAAACTGTGGATGAAAAAGGAGGAGAGTTTGAAGAAATGTAAAGATGAAAGAAGAAAAATAAAATAATTTAGGAAAACAAACAGAAATGCACATGAAAGAAAGGTGAAAATAAATGAAAAGAAAGAAAGAAAAGAAAAACAAAAGGATTAGAGAAAAATTAAAGATGAGTAAAAAATGAAGGAGGATGTAGAAGAAGAAATATGAAACAAACATATCAAAAGAAAGAGAAAAAAATGCTAAAGAAGAAGCTACATTTTCTGATGTTGACCTTCTTGTAAGATCAGTAGCATTGATTATGTTGGAGTCAGCATAAGGTGAGCACATTAAATAGGATATTGGCTGAGCAAAGAACAGTGACTAAAAGTAATTGTGCCTCTATTTAACTGAACCTCAGTTGTAACTTCACCTTTGACCAAAAGTTCTGCATCTCTCCTACTCACATAATTATTTTGTCATAATAACTAGTGTCAGCCCAATAATTAGCCTATCCTTATCTGCCAAGTTGAAATCACCATCACTCATATTCATTCATCTTTTCTGGTGACCCTCACCTCATTTCATGTTAGTGGTGATGCTAGCAATGGTGCTAATAACAATGACACTAATCATGAATGGTGTGCTAAACAGTGACTTCAATAAATACTAGACATTTCTAAATTTCAGACCATAAATATTTTTAAAATCTTGTTTGTCACAGAAGTTTTTTAAAAAGTAATGTTTGAAGGTAACTGATAAATTTAGAAAGATTCACTTTTTCAATGTACACAGATAGCCTGAATTTATTGATGAAAAATAAAATTTAAATGAAAATAACTGCTCTAAACAAGTCAGAACTTTAACCAAGCCATAAAAATGGAATTCTGGATTGAGTGCAAGCCTAGTGGTGTATCTTGGAAAGAAGAAGCCAAGAGAAAAGAATGCAATTGTTGAAAAATTAAATTATCAGGATACTGAATGTCAAAGAAAAACAATATATCAGAATATTAGAATCAGCTTTGAGAAGGAGAAAATGAATGAGGAAATAAAAAAGAACAAAGATGTTAAGAGATGAGACTCTTAAGCAAAAATCTTATTAAGAGAAATATCTATATGTGAAACTTTTCTAACGTAGACAAGAGAAAAAGAGAACGTTGCATGAGAGAATGGTGACTTTGTATAAAGCCTTGGATGATGCGAGTTCATGTGACGAGAAAGATAACAAAAGAGAATTCATCTGAAAAGTAAAGAGAGTAAGCATAACAGTCAGAAACTGTAGCAAAACTGAAAAAAAATGTTTGATAAAAAAATCCAAACACTAAGTGAAAAATGGAAATGCAATTCCATGGGAAATTCAAAAGAAGACTAAAGAGATTACAAATAAAATAACATAAATGTGGTTTTGCAAAGGACATTTGAAAGGTGAAACACAATCTCTAGTAATAGGAACCAAGAGAACATGTATTTGAATGAACATAGTAAAAATGGACAAAACTAAACAAAACTGTAAATGTGGTCTGCATGGAGATAAATAAGGGAATGTAACAAATTAGCTGAAGTGTATTAAAACTTAGATAAAAGTTGTGACCCAATGATTTTAATTTTGCAGTCTAATAGCATCAGCAAAAAAGAACTGTCCTATAAATAGAAATTCAAATAGATCACCCAATTCAGGTTTGGAGACATGGTCAAGTCATCATAAATAAAAAAAAAATGATGATCTGTCAGTAGATTTAGTTGTTCCAGTATACCACATAGTGATCCTGAATGAAAAGTATCTGGCTCTTGCCAAAGAATTATGCAATATGAAGGTGGTGATTATGCCAGAGCCCTTGGAATAGCCCCAAAGAATATTTCCAAAGATTCAAAGATTTCAAAATCAATGGAAAAATTGAAACTATCCAGTAAATAATATTACTAAAATCGACTGGAATAGTGAGGAGAATTGTATTTGCTTTCACAAATAGTCACTGAATTCTACTGGTATGAAAACATACTGAATGCAAAATGATAATAATAATATTATTATACTTGTTTATAGCTGTATGTTAACTATTCACGAAACGATTTCAGATTCATTTGCAATGGAAAAAATGAATTGATGCTATCCAATAAATAAGTAAATAAGTCCTGCTGTCAGACTTTAAGTTCAGTTGGAATTTGTCTCAAGCAGTATTTCATCAGATAAATTTACATTGCCTTTTGACTAGCATATGCCTGCCAAATACTAGAATGATAGTTATAATATTGAGCAAAGAAAAAGGATGGTGTAGAAGAAAGGTAATATTTATAAAATGAAATCTGTGAAAATTAAGTTTAGATAAATTTGTAAATCTATAAATTCCATTTTATTGGATAAATACACACACACTAGCATCATTACCCGGCGTTGTCTGGGTTTATTCAAAAAAAGATCACAAACCTTATCCAATCTATAAAGTTAAAATAAAGAAGATTTTTCTTTAGTGCTTCTTATCTATATGGCGAAAAATTATAATGACATGAAATGTGAAAACATTTATAACAGGAGAAAGTTGTTTTTTACAGAAGCACAGAAGATACAAAAAATTTGTCAGCAAATGAAGAGTACATTAATTGCAATTGATCTTCGAAAATTGTTGAGGAGAAATGCTTTGTTGACAGCTTTTGCTCAAACTACATCAAATGAACAACATGCATTGAAAGGAGAAGAAATTCAACAAAGACTTCTCCTAGCAGCCGTGCCAAGGCTGAAAACCAATGTTCACAAAGGCTGCATAGAATTGTTCTTTGCCCCTCAGTTTCGACAGCTCGAGTAGCATCAGTTCTGGCAGTGTTCCTTTCTTGTCTAATTAACCATTGCTCATTAGTTTCTGCTGACCTTGCATTAGCTGTACGAATAGCATTTTGTGTCAGTCTAATTTGAGTTTCTTGTTGTGAAGTGTTTCTTCTCCGTGCTTTCATGCGTTTGGCTGTAGTAGTAGCAGGTCCAAGTGTAGGATTTCGCTTTCTTAGCATTACTGTCAGGCAGTAGTTGGAGGGGTTTGGCTAAGCTTTTTAAATAACAATGAAGTAATCAATTAAAAAGCAAGAATATTATACACTTTAATGGAAATATAGCCACAATAAATTAAATGCAAGTTTATAAGGGAGACCATGGAAATGTGGTAAACAGTTATGTGCAAGCTCGTAAAGTTAGGATTTATCTAAAAATAGACTACCATAAAAATGTTCTAGTGATAAAAATAAAAATTAATGTGCAGCTAGAAACCTACTCACTATGAAGGGTTAAAACGTACACACCAAGTTTAGCATAATTATAAGTGAATCAAAAGAGGGTCTTTACATTATTATAAGTGCATTTTTCAGAATAAAACTGTCAAAATTTTAGGGCTCAAGTTTTCAAATATATGAGTTAGTAAGCATTATTTAAACACTGATTAGAAGATGATAAATACATAATTAAAGATTGGAATTTACACTTAAAATTTTTAATAATATGATTTTCACAAATTTAAATTTAAAGTATCAAAAATTCAAAATAAACATGCATGAAGGCAGCCTACCTTTTTACTGGATGACAACTTTGATGCGAATGAGATTTTTGCATTTAGCAATAATGAACACTACATGTGAAGCAAAATCAATAGTATGCACTACATAACTTGATTGATCATTGTACGTGGAGCAAAATCAATTATACACACTACACATCTCATAATATATTTATGACACATGGGGTATCAGTTTTGATTTTGAGTTGATTGATCTAAACACAAATTATGTGCAAATTTTCATTGGAATGCTGCTAACCACTACAATTGAAGGACTAATGGGGTAGCAAGGTGTTCATGGGTCATCTTAGGGCCCCTTATGTAGATTTCAGAATCTGATAATTGTTTTTGATTCATTTTAAGATTGTAACATACATGTAAAATTCCATCAAAATCGAAGCAATTTGAAAATTTGGGGGTCCCTTTGGTTCACCCTAGGGATCCCAAATTTCAAGCCAAAGGATAAGTTTAAGACTAATAGTAATTGAAATAATAAAGCACATCTTTTTTAAGTTTTCTATTTAATCGACTTTATGGCCAGGGCTGTAGACTTAATTGAAAATTTCAGGGTTCCCTGCTGGTCCCCTAACTCGTGGGGGTCCCAGTGTTGATTTTCAGTGAATTCCAAGTGACTACTTCAGTTATTCAATATAATCTCAATATGTACTGAAATTTTCGTTGAAATTGGGGAATACTGCTACAAAATACACTTGAATAGCAATTGAGGCATCAAGGGGTTTATAGGGTCATCCTGGGGAGCTCCCTCATGCATTTTTAAAAATCTGACAACCGATTTCTATCTCACTGTAAGAGTGTAACAAACATGCAAAATTTCATCAAAATCAAGGCAATTTGAATTTTTTTGGGTACCTTTGGGTCACCTTGGGGGTCCCAGTGTCAAGAGAAATGAAAATCAATATAGCATATAATAAGCATGACAGTAAGTTACATACATTTATCAAGTTTCATTAAAATTGGTCTCAGGGTTTAGACTTCAAGTCTGAAAGTTTAAAAACAACCAAACTAATGGAAATTCCCATTTAAACATTATATTTATCGATTATCGGTTATTGATTTTTGAAAAATGACTAATTTTTTTTGCCCAGACATATCCAGTATTGAGTACAATCTATGTTCCAAATTTGGTGGAAATATGCCTCATGGTTCTCGAGTAGTTTGTGAACATACACACACACACACATACACATAGTCGGTTTTATATATATAGATAGATACTTTGCATAACATTTTTGTATGGTTCTGATAATCATAAAATAGCCCAGAAAGAGTTTATAGAAATATCAAACAATCAATAATTCTTTCCTGCAAACAGAAAAGCACATTGTTATCAAAATTCTTGCAGTGGTTTTAACTTGTGAGTTGCCTCTAAATAACTTCAGTTTTTTCTGAAAATTAGAATGAAAATGTTTCTACCAATTTTGTCAAGAAAGTTGACTGTATACTTTATATTAATTCATTAAAGTTTGTTTTCCTTCATTTCTTATCATTAAAGTCTGCAAAAATCTAATATAAAGTTGGTGGTAACAAACATTTTTATTATTATACAAAATCAATTACTTAAGTATTTTTCAGAATCTAATTCTACACATTTTAATTTTCTTTGTGCTCAGAATTTGCAGGCACAGTTTAAGTGTATCACAAATGAAGGAATTATAGTTTTAAAATATTTCTAGACATGTAGACCAAGTAATGAAATGTTGCACTAAGTAGCAAGTATATTCTTTATCTTTTAGGAGTAATTGTTGCAAGGAAAAGTAAGTGAAAGTTCATGTTTAAAAACAAAAAAATCTTCAATTTTATTTCATGCATAACAAAACAGTTCATATGTTATTATTTAAAGTAGTATATCTACACTCACTTATAAAGCAGGTTTCACCTAAATAACCTCTTCGGCGAAGAGTAACATTCAGGAATTTCTCAGTTTCATTTATGGTGAACTGGTCACTCTCCATTGAAATGACAGCCCAGTTCAAATGGAATGGCTGGTTATTGAGTATGTTCCCACCTGGAAAGAAAAAATAGAATTGTAAGTGCAATTCTTATATAATGAACAGTTTTATTAGACTAAAGTTTCAAACATTTGCAATTACAGAAGACAAGATCAAAACTATGATTCTTGAGTAACTTATTAACATGACTGTGAACAATGACTGAAATGGTAGCTATTGGAACAGACAACAAGGAAAGTGTGTTACATTTTAACAATGCTTTTATGTACACTTGCAAGAATTACTGCTATTTCAGATACATAAACTTCCATTAATGTGTGATAGACATTAATATGTGATGGACATGTACACACATACACCCCCCCCACACACACACACATACACATAATAGATCACATCATGGTGATCTTGTGATGAGTGCAGTCCTAGGTTGTGAGATGACTTGCCAGGCTAATTCTTGCATGGATCAAGTGAGAATAATGGTAGCAGAGAATTGCTCTTGAAAGTTAGAGTTGCTCCACACAATGTTTGCATGGATGGCAGATGTAATCTGGAGTTTCAAATCATTCTGTATTGTCATATTTCTCTATTATTTATGACTCAACATTTCAATTTTTCAGTTTTTCTGGTTCAATCCTATTACTTTCAGTGTCTTCTTAAATTGTTTCTTGTATTGGTGTGTATATACATCATAGCATTGTATTTTATCATACATCTGTGGAAAGTAAGCAGACAAGAGTTGTTACTTCTAACCATTGAAATCATTACCTCATTTTCTGAATTATGATAAATGTTTTAAATCCATAATAACTGTTCTATGCTCCTATCTATATAACTATCTTTTAAATTTATATATTCTATCTTAAGCATTTAAAAACATCAGCTGGATTTTGATAGAAAAATATTGTTTTTCTCAGAAAAAGAATTCTTATGGTTCTGAAATGAAGCCATTTTCAATGTTTTAACCATAGTTTCCTAAACTTTAAAATGATGAGAAAAATTCTTATCTCTCTAACATTATTGTTTTATAAATAAACCATATCAGTAGTAAAACAATTAATACTTAAAAAAGGAAAAATGGTTTACAATGTTTTATTATTTACTGTTCTTTCCAAATTTTCAATTATTGCCTAAGCATTAACCTATGAGAAATGTATCAACATTCAGGAAGGTTTTCACTAACAGATGTGATAAATTTCAGACAATTTAAATACTTTATTACCAGTTATGTGAAAATACCTATAAAAAATAAAATAGGTACAAATTTCATTTTATTGCTAATGTTAAAAAGTATAATTGAAGGCTTCACTAGAAAAGAAAATGTTGGGTTTTTGAACAAATGTATTTTCAAATTTAATACAAACTCTGCAGTAATATTCTTCAAAAAATGCATGAACCTGAAATATACCATTATAAAAAATCCATATTCACATATAAATACAAGAATAAAAAGTTGATTTTACAGAAGATTAATGACAGGCTAAAAAATCATTCATGAATTCCTTCGAAGTACAAAGAGTTAACATAACAAAAGGATGTTGTAGTTGTTAACAGTAGTAGTGGTAGTATTTTGTTAGAACATAAATGACATATAATTACTGTCATGTTAGCCTCCAGTTATGCAATTTAACAGACTAGTTCTCACCAGAGATAACCTGACAATGTAAGACAAAAGGTTGGTGAGTAAATTTGCAATAAGAGAAATTGATAATGATTTAGAGACAAAAATTGGTTTTGTCAAAAGTTAAATATGAAGAATGTATAAAGAGAAAGGGGCAAAATATGGAAGAGAAGGATGAAAGTAAAATGTCAGAGATTTAAGTACTTAGAAGGGAACAAAGGTTACAGATTTTAGCTGGAAGGAGAGTAACTTAAATGTGTGATCTTTCACTCTAGCCTTCACTAATTCATGTATACATATGAAAAGACTCACATGTATTGATTTATATATATATTATATATATATATATATATATATATATATATATATATATATATATATTCTCTTATGTGCTTATTATAAAATATATGCAGGACAAGATGAACAGTTATGGATACATATGTAAATCTATGTGAAATTACAAATATTATTAATAATAACAGTATTATAATTGATAACAAGGATCTTGCTTCCTTGTAGTGTTACTGTAAAAAATACTGTGTCAAAAAGACAGAGTTACTATATCAATAAAAATAACACAAAGTCATAAAATAATAATAATAATAATAATAATAATAATAATAATAATGGTGTCATTTTCACACTGAATGATTGACAGGTGTCTAGTATACTTCCCCGGGTTGATTCTTTATAACATACAAGCATGGAAGAATTCATAAACATTTATTTAGTGGGTAAGTAGCATAATAGGTACATTTAAAAAGAAATTAAAACTTTTTGTTCAATAGCCTGTGGGGAGCAATTCTAAAATGCATAACTTTATTTCTAGTTCACAGATTTTAAATCCTGCTTTATAAGTAAATACTTTCCTTAAATTTCTCCTTTCCCCTTTAGTATTTCCCTGCATTGATCTTTATGGTATCTACTTCCAAAATACTAAGCTACTTGGAACTTTTCTTCCTGTTAAACATTCCAATCATTTCCTTGAGGAGTTCAATTCCATCTGTTTTCTTTTTTCTGCAGAGTTTGGTTTTGAATATTATTCTTATTCTTTCCAAAATTGACTAGTTCAGTTCCTTCTGTTATTTCTTTTTCTTTCCCTATTCATTACCACTATTGCATATTTCTCAATACCAAATTCCATTTTTATATCTTGACTGAAGATTTTAATAATTTGTATGAGGATTTCAAATTCTATTAGTTTTTTTTGGAAGGAAAATTTTAAGATTATCATCATCATCATCAATAATAATAATAGTAATTCTAATATCAACTAAACATATGCAAATATCTAACAAAAACTGAATTCTTTTCTGTATTATGTTTATGAATTATGTGAACAAGTACATGTGATTATAAAATACAAAAATGATGTTTTTCAATGAGTTTCAAAGCATTTTTTAAGTATTTTGGAGTTAATTTCCCTTCCAAATTAATGATCAAAACATTAGATGGAAACAATTTCTTGAGCAAGTCCAAGGGAAGGTCAAAAAAGGCTTGGGAGAAATTTGGTGTGTTAATCAAAAGGTAATAATAATACTGATGGGTTCAGCTTTGGATATTTCTTTAAAAGGAAATATGTTGGTAGTACAAAGAAAGATAAATTAATAGAAAAAAGTAGTAGATTATTGAGTAATGTAAAAAAGGAAAAAACAGAAAGAGTTGTAAATGTTTGGAAATATGAAAAAGAAAAGATAAGAATAAGTGATAATGAAAAGGAAAGAGGAAGAAAAAAAGGGCAAACAAAGAAAATTGAGAAACAAGTTTGTTAAAAAAACAAAAATGGCAAACAAGACTAGAAGATAGAGAATATTGTAATAATAAAAATGGTTCAAGGGAAAAGGAATAACAAATAGTAGAATAAATTGAAAGAGAAAGAAGTAAAAACTGATAAAATTTAAGCAAACAAATGAAGTAAAAGCACATAAAGAAGTAAAATTATAATATAAACAACAGATGAAAGAAAGTAGAAAGTCTACCATGAAAAATCAACAACAGATGTTTGAAAAAAAATAAAATAAAATCTGAGACCAAATCAGAAAATAAAGAGACTGAAAGGAATTTAACAATAAAGAAAAGACAAATCAAAGAAAAAAAAAACTGTTAAAATTAGAGAGGAGATATTTTAGTTAATGAACTAATGAAAGAAGGGTATGTATTCAAATCTTCCAATTATTAGGATAATATCAGAAAAGCTATGCAAAATATTTTTACAAATCATCCCCTAAAGTAACAAACAAGCATTAACAAGTGAAATGGGAGAAAATTCCAAATAAAAGTTTAAAAAAGAAAAAAAAGAAGCCTATATTTTTATAGTGGCTCAAAGGTCACTCAGTTTGACCCAGTCCACCCATTCTATTGGGGCCTATCACTGTTATTCCCCTAGAAGCATATTCTCCGTGTTTTATCACCTAAGTGCTGAAACACTAAACTGGCTTTATCAAAGTTAAAGCGTATAAAGATTATCTTTGGTGATGTTGCTTCTTTTCATTTTACTTCTTTTGTTTTACCTATTATTCTTTAACTTAACATAATGAATGTTTGTCTTATAGTTTGGCTTATCATAAATCTGTCACAGATGAATGAGCAAATGGCTTTTTTCAGTTTTTTTTTTCTGAGACTCAATTTGGATGCCTATTAACATAATGTCAGTCTGTTCTAGGATAATGATTCCCATTTCATTTCCTGCAAGCCTCTCCTTCCAATTCCTTGCACCATACATTGGAGGATTGTCTTGACAATCCCTGCTAATCATGAGACTTACCCATAACATTTTCACCGTGCTTAGGAAAACTTCATGATGATGAGCCAGGCATGTTACTAAGTGATTAATATATTGAATATTAAATTTACATATATAATTTAAATAATGTTAAATAATAGTTTCAGACTATTATTTTTTAGTGGCAGTGTATTTGACTCAGACCATGGGGTCAGCTGGTAAACAAAATAGGATCTTGATTTTGATTGGCTTAGCTGTATGTGGGGATGTTAAAGTTAGAAACTGTTTTTGATGAGTAAGTTTTTATACATCGAAGAGATCAGACATGGTTATTTTGTGTTCTGGGGAACTTGCTCCCCAGAGGGGCTGTGGAGCAGCTCCACTGGCTAGTTAAAAATGTACATGTCATCATGTTAATAATCATTGCTTAAATATTGTTTTCCACTCTTATATTTAAATCTGTTGGGATGTTTTCTGTTGGATTAATATCTGGAAAGGATAGGGACTAATCCACTAATTTGCTATCTGTGAAACAATTTTTGAGCAAGCTAAGCAAAGGTCATTGTTGCACAATGTGAAGAAGCATTTTCTTGCACATATATACCCTTGAGTTGAAAGTACCTTGTTTGTGACATATACAACTCAAAAAATACCTTGTCT